TAATCCTGCTAGCAGTGTGGTCCTGTTAGCAGCATAATCCTGCTAGCAGTGTGGTCCTGTTAGCATCATAATCCTGCTAGCAGTGTGGTCCTGTTAGCAACATAATCATACTAGCAGTGTGGTTATGTTAGCAGCATAATTTTGCTAGCAGTGTGGTCCTGTTAGCAGCATAATTTTGCTAGCAGTGTGATCCTGTTAGCAGCGTGAGCTTGTCTTTCCCCAGTCTGCATCAGCTTAACAGCTGAGGCTCATTAGGGAATTGATTGCTGCAGAGCTGGATCTGAGGATGCATATGGACCCTGCTGCCCCACTTGCTGTGGCCCCCACCAACAGCACCACACAGCTATGCTGTGCGGGTTGATCACTGAATTATTTCAGTGATCGGATTTTATAGCATATAGATATCTCATTGTGAGGATAATGTAGGAGGTATCTATTAATGAAGGTTAATAAATGATCAGAAACCAAAGCTTGTGTTTGGAACCACAACTGCTTTCTGAACTGGATTTGTAGATTTGTTTGAGAAATCACCTCATTAAGGAGCTAAAGGCTCGAATGTGGTGTTCCTGCAGCTGAGCAAAGTTTTGACAGGTGCATTAAGTCTATTGAATTATTTAAAAATTAATTTTAATCAGATAAGTGGGCCACATCTATTGTTGGTTTGAAGTTGGATGGTTGTGCTGACTCTTTGGAGAACATTTTCAGTTCTCCTGGCATGTGAAGGTCATGGACAAGTACCCCCTTCAGTTTATAAAAGCCTCTCGATCATAAAAGAAATTGTGAAATTCGTGGAGCTTTTCAAACGTTTGTGCAAACGTTAAACCTCTACAAAATATATTACATTCATGAGGACATTTTTGAAGTAGTTTGTTGAATGTAAGAAGCTTACATTTAAAAAGAAACAATTAACAATGTTTACCTGAAATATTCAACTAATCTCAAGCATCTGTTTCTACTGCGCTGACAAATTTATTGTGATGGCCAGCAAACTTCTCAAACTCACTAAAAATACAGATTTACTGGATGCGGTTTGTGCATCCTACATCAGAAGCAGATGGATAAGAAAAAAGGTGACAAAATAAGCGAAGCGCTTTCATTCCTAAATAGCTCCCCGTACGGATATATTTGGTCAACCTTTTTGGCTCCGTCTGTATTGCTCTGCTTACAGCAGCTTCAGTTTTGCATGGCTCTTCACTAAAATGATTTGTCAAGAGATGGCTCTGTGTGTGGGAGGTTTTTAAGCTTAGGAAAAAAATAAATGGAGTTGAATCAATAGCAAAGAGCCGGCCCTGAATCGAGGTAATGAAATGGACTTACAACTTGTACACTCGCAGGTGGCAAAACAGAGATGTTGCCTTTTTGATGGATTGTGCACTTTGAGAAGGAGAAAGGGTGGAGTAAGGGCAGAGGTATTGTGGAAAACAAGGTTTATATTTGATTGTGTCAGTGTGCAGCGTAGACAGAACGTCTATTTCACCTGCTCAGGGATTTTCCCTCCATTGTTCTGAGAGTGAATCAATGCTGGAATCAGACCTCTCCATGGGGCATCAAGAGCTTAGACTCTGTGGCAGCTGAGCTGACATATTATTTAGGTTTGACAACCGCAGAATGAAACAAGGTTGAAGCGAGAATGAATTGAAAACACCCCCTTCTTGCTCTTCAATTTAGTCTCTTTTTTTTCCACTTTTGCTGTTGGGTTTGTGTTTTAAAGTCAGACTGTACCTTTGGTACTTTAAAAATTGTACATTTACCAGTGTTTTATGCTCTCCTGTTTAGATTTTTTGAAGGTTTATAAAAGCACATCAGGACTCTCATGGGTGGTTAACATTCAAGGCATACTGATGAGTCCTCGAGGCTCAATGGGATTTACCTGTCTAAATAAAGGTTGAATGAATAGTGAATGGGAACTTTAAAGCCACATAATGCTTGCTTGAGGGGCGTCGGCTTGGTGAAGGCCCACACAAAGTCTCCCTCTGGAGAGCGTGATCAGTGTGGAGTGCAGGAAGCTGGTCAAGCAGTGTGGAGCCATTATTCAGTGCTAATACACTCTGTCTTCCCCAGATCAGATAGAGCACAAGGACAGAGTAGTTCTTAGACAGATGGCCTCTTTTCCATTCCCTCAAGAGCCATCCATTCCTTGTGTGCGTGGCACCGCTCCTTGATTCGATAGATACTTCAGACACTCAAGATAGTCCAAGGTATGACAACACCTTTTCTATAGGACTGAAACAAAGGTTTAGTAAAACTTTGACAAGAAATCAGATATTTCTACAAAGATCCGAATGATTGTCAGTAAAAACTACCAGTAATTTATTCAAACTATGTATGTTAGGAGCGTGTATATATGGTCCATGTATATATATATATGTGTGTGTGTGTGTATATTATATATATGTATGTATGTATAAAATACTTTGATTAAAAAAATAATGAAACGTCCAAGCAGTACAACTAAAATGCTCAATTTCATATCACGTGTTCCCTCTACGCCAGTTATTTAGACTTTGATCATCTTGTGCTAAGAAGTGATAGTGCTGCAGTCATTTTGACCAAACCTTGAAAATGACACAATGAACAATCTCAAAACTGATTTCATGTGTGATCCTAGACAATCAGTTAGTGCTTTGACCATTTGTTGCTCAGTGTTGATAGAAATGACCAAGTTAGAGCCATCTTTGTGTAGACTAAGGTTGATTACTGTAGTTGTTGTGGTCATATTATTTTTTTTCTATTAACAATGATAAATTGATACCTATATCGCTTGTTTATGTTGGGAATGATGCTCAGCTACAACCACACAAAATGTTAGCTCAGTATCTGTCATACAGGCTGGCTTTTAAAGCCTTCTAAAGATTGTTGGCTGTGACAGCCATTTTGAATGAGACTACCACCAAAATGTGTATTAGTACATGTAGATATCAATCAATGATTCATTTCTGACGTTGCATTAAATTGTGTTCAGTGGTGGCAGTATGAACAAATGAAAGCACACACACACACACACACACATGTCCAAAGGCACCAGCAAAAACATTATTGCTCTGCCTTCAGCAGCAGGAAATAAAGATTTCTAGCTATATTTTACACTTTGAAAAAACATTTCTCAAGTAAGACACCACGTAGGGTAAATTCTTAGTAACACCCCTAATTGCAAGTATGCCAGCTCAGCAATGTGTAAACGTGTTACCCAGCTGCTAAAAGGCTTAGCAGATCATTTTTTTTTATTATTATTATTATTTTATTTTTGACCAAATTACCTCTGAGTCTCAGACGCTCTTGGCGTTCTGCCCCGTCCTTTTCTTTACAAGTTTTACATAGTTAAAAAAAACAATAATAAAAATAGAAACAAGACACAAGCTTCCAATAGGAAGTTTCATTTTAGTGCCTTCAGGATATGAGCGTCTCCTCCACTCTCCTAACTTTCACAGGAAACATAAGTCTGAGCCATGCAGCCTTTTACTCTCCCTGAGTTTCACCCGCCGTTACCCTGGCTCCAGAACCTGCATCATGATTAACCCTGTGTTGACAGGAACCTTATGTACATACTGAACAGATGCTCGTGGTCTTGCTGCAGGTTTAAACAGAGTAAGTATTCTCACAACTAATCAGATAAAAATGAGATGTGCATTGGTGCTTCCCCTCCTAAAATGTGCA